TACGCTTTGGCATTATCTATTAAGAAAAGAATTATGGCACTTTGCTTTTTTTTTTTTTTTTTTTTTTTCTCCACGAGAAAAGAAGAGCAAAAAGAGATGGCCAAGAATTCTTGAGGTTTTTTTGTGTGCTTTTTAAAGGCAGTGCTCGCTTTGCACCAGAAAGTGGGAACAAGGTCTATGGACTTGTGATCTGAAGAGGAAAGTGAAATCATGGTGTGGAGCCTTTTGACGTGTTTGGCATCCCTCATGGCTTACTGCATTTGCCCTTTTTGTGTGTGTGTGTGTGTGTGTGTCTGTAGAAAATCTTACCTTTCTTTTAATACAAATTAATATTTGTAGTACAAATTACTACAAATAATTTTTATTTTACAAGGTGTGACAAAAACATTTTTTTCATGGAGRCAAACAGGTTGTTTTTTAAGAAATCCCTCTCTTGCCAGACAAATTGGTCAGGCCTTGTACTTTTGTCTTATTGATGCAGTTGACTTGAAATCAATTTAGCTTTTCTAGAGAAGGAAAAGAAAAATTGCCTGCTACCATTTCAGAAAGAGCTCTTGGAATTGTTGCAACTTCCCAGAATACCAGTTCCTTTTCTAGCCTTGCCTAAAACAGGCAAATAGAGTGTTAATGATCATTAGCAGTGGAGAATAAAACAGGAAGAGTCATTACGGCAGCGCATAAAGCCACAAGAATAACTGTTTCATTGTTTATATGTTTGTAGAAGTTCTATTTACCATACACTCTAATAAGAATATAATAATCTCTTTGTATTGTTCCTTCTGTCTTGCTTTCATCAGTTGCAAAAAAATGCAGATTTATTTTCTTTAAGGACATGGAAACAGAACGTSCAGACAGGCCCCCTTCATCATGTGGAAGTCTTTACTGCTGCTTCTACACCCTTGGCCCGTTTCAGGACGTTTATCACATTTAATGTTCTTCAGAAACTTGGTGGCTTTCGTTTTTATACAGAATAAAGAACAATTGCCGTTCCTCAGTGCCATGAGAGGGTTTGTTCAGTGCTGCTGGTTACTGATTCTGGTTTGTTCTGTGTTGCAGGAGATTATCTGGCACGATAGATGTCATTGGCCAGACCATCACTATCAGCAGGGTGGAAGGACGTCGGCGTGCTAATGAGAACAGCAACATACAGGTTTTATGCTGCAGATTTACACACTGTCTTTGACTTTTTTGGCTTTTTTTTTCTCCTTCTGAATAAAACACTGTAATGTGTACAAATCAGAAATACAGAAGAAATTTAATTTCAGGAAGAAAGTTGTGACAATTAAGATGAAATAGTTGATGTATCTTTTAAAGATACATATTTTCATATTCAGTATTCACTTCACTGAAGCAAAATATTACAAGCTGACAGCCTCAGAGACAGTATTGGCTCTGTTAGACAAGGCTTATACTTAAACTGAGTATCTTTTCATCCCTCACCTTAGCTGGACACTTAATACTCAACACAAGTTCATTTAAAGAAATATAAATATTGGAGGAATAAATAGCTGAAAGTACATTTTTTTGCATTACTTTTCCATAAATTGTCAGATTAGTCTTTATGACTGTTGTCTTTATGGTCTTGGGTTATTATCAGAAAAAAACATAAACTCATAAACTCATAAAAACTAAACTCATTGCGGAATACAATTTTTTCTTTCTTGACATATCTGTAGAGAAGAATGACAGATATTTGGTGTTATACCTGCATATTTCCATGCCAACTTGGTTAAAGATAAGCYGTGAAGGTTTTAAGAGACTGTAGCATTTGTATTTAAAACACTGCAATGAGGGCTCTTGGGTTATGAGGCTTTTTTCCCCCTCAACTAATCTTCTCACAGTGTGAATGATTCAAGTAATTCAAGTGATCAATTCAGAGTATTGAATTCAAGCAGTTCAAACTCTTCAGTTTTTCATGCCATTTTCACTGATTTTTTAAAAATATTTTCTTTTGAAAAATAATAAATCTAAGATGGTGTTTTAGTCCATATTTAGATGACTATATTCCCTATAAAATCTTATGTTAATTGTTCCTACAAGCTGTTTCTGGGTCCTTAAAGGTGCCTAAGGAGTACAGGACACTGAACACAGGGATATAGGTGTAATCTGTGCTGTCTGCATATGGCTCTTGAGGAGCATAAGTAATGCTTTCCTGATAGAGTAAGTGGAAAGAGAGGAAACCTATGTTCTACCCTTTTTACATAGCAATTGTAACTATAGTTTGATATTTTACAGGTTCTTTCAGAACGATCTAACCCTGAAGTAGACAATTTTACCAAGCCACCTCCATTTTTCCCTCCAGGAGCTCCACCTACCCACCTTCCACCACCTCCTTTCCTCCCACCCCCTCCAACTGTCAGTACTGCTCCACCTCTGATTCCCCCACCAGGTAAATGTCCTACGTTATGTTGTAGAGGGTGGGAAATGAAAGTGCTCCTTGATGATTGTGAATTCAAGATATATATTCTTTGCATGTTTGACTATGGGCAAAATTGCAGAATTTTTTGTTCTGCTCTTTCTGTACGTAGATCTGGAGGGCAGAAACAAATTTCTGTCTTTACTTTCTCAGTGAGAACAGTCAAAAGTACCAAAAAATTACGTAAAGACTCGGACAGTAAACGTAAATAATTGCGTAAAGACAAGTCAGGTCTTGCATCCTTRACAATGTCTGAAGTGAGAAGTTGCTTTTTGCACTTGACCTGTCTTTAATGTTGTTGAGAGGTACATGTTAACAAATTATTCCAAAGTTTGCACCAAGAAAATTGATGAGCTATGACTTTGTGCTTTAATTCCACCCTGCCCTCAGAGTGTGTACAAATTCTCAAATGTCTGCTAAGAATTGCTTTTCTGCTGCAGCCATTTGGTCAGATCTTGTTCAGCCCCTGCTGTTTTTATTCAGCAGCCTGTACCTGTGGTGCTTGGAGCAGTCAGAGCTCTTGGAGACGTGTTCTCATGGTTCTGTCTGCTTTGCAATTTACCCTTCTTCATCAAAGGCACAAAGAAACTGCACAAATGGTGCAGTTTAGCTGAGTGGTGTCATCTCCAAGACTTAGGCCAAAAGAACCTTGAGGAGTGTCACAGTAGGGAAATAAAAGATACAGTTATAGATAGAAGAGACTGATCTAAGGTGGCCACCCTTTCCTTATTTGTTCCTCTTGCTCATTGCATTCTGAATCTCTCACGTTTGCACAGGGAATCTTCCTGGAGTGCCTGTTCATACTAATGCACGAGCCAGGAAGCGACGTTGTTCTTTCTGTGCAGTGGCTCTGGGGGGGCCTTTGCAGTGTTCAAGTCCTCTCATGGAGGAAGTTATTTTCTTCAGTTGCTGCTGATTTTAAAACCGCTTCCTCCTGCTGACTGGTGCAAGCTCTGACTTTCATCAGTGACCGTCACACGCCAAGGGGTGCAGCCTGGCAAAGAGGAGGGGAAAACATTAAAAAAATAAATCACTTTATGCTTTCTTCCACTTTTATATGCATAAAGGTAAAGATGGGCTATCTGTAGAGAGAATGTGCTACTGCTGTGTTACAGAACTGTATATTATGAAAGCCTGACAGGATTTCCCCCCCCACAAGCACAGTTAGTGCAGTGCTGTCACTCAGGTGTGCTGTGGGGTGCTGTGAGACCCCTCACCTGTTGGGCTTAAATGTGGAAAAAGAAATGCACGTGTGTTACAGATGCAGCCAGCAGGTTTGGCTCCAGTCTTGTGATTTGCAGACAGGTTTATGGCGTCCACTTGTGCAGAAAGTCTCCTTCAATGTCCTTCCGTGCTTCACGTAGGCTTGAAGAGAACGATGCAGAGCTGAGGGTTGGGTTTCTTCGGGCCTGTGTTTTAATTGTGCTCTTGCCAGCTCTTTATCTTCAAAGCTGCTCCTAAAATAGAACCTGCCATCCCTCCTAGGTTCATTGGAGGGGGAGGAAAAAAACCCACTGCTACCCAATATTAAACTGGGACCACTTGCCAGAAAATTTAAGTATTCCAAATATAAAACATCCTCCAAAAGCCCCTTTGAAAAAGGATCCTGCTTTGAAGTTGGGTCTCTTGTTCTGAATTCATTCACTCTTGTGATTCAGATCTTTTCTGAGGAATGAGTTCTGGAATTATTCAAAGGGCCAAACACAGAAAACTCTGAAATGCTTACTAGGAAATCACTGTAATTTGCTATAGTAAAGATATGTTGTTTATTTGTTTTCTTGTGCTGGAGTGACTTRAGTCTAAGTAATATGGGTGCTTTTCTTTAACAGACCTTGAGGGTTATTTCATTTATTTTGGTATAAGAACATAGTAGTTTAAATGTAACATGTATTTGTGATTAAAAAAGATACTCTGCAGAATTAAACTTCAGTTACAGACTCTGGGGAAGTTTAACTGCTTAGACATTTTGTCCAGCTAGCAAGGGATTGTACATCCACACATCTGCTGAGGCCCAGCAGGCTTCAGGGTGTACGTTTTAGCTGGTGATAAATGAGAGAGAATTAGACTTGGCTTAGCCGGTGACGAAGTCAGTTCCTACGTGAAGCCGAGCTGTGTTTCCCTGCCACGGGCTGTCCCAGGGCCCTGCTAAGCTCGGGCGTGTTGTTGAGCTGCTGCAGCCTGTGTTGCGCTCCTTGCTCACAAGGACAGCACGTGTGGCCGTGCTCCTCAGTGCTTGGTAAACCCTGACCAGTCTCGAGTTCACTAGGATGGTGCACAGCGTCTTGGAAGCAGCTTCGAGCACATCTTGCAGCGTGTGGATGAGCCACAGGAAAACACTGCACTGGTGCTCGTGATAATGCACGACAGAATGTTTCGGTTTAGGCCGGGTGCATCTTTGTGGCACTGCGGTGTGTCACAGAGAGACCTGCACTAAATCGTCTCCTTGAGCTGATAAGCAGGTTTAATGCATGCATTGCAAGAAATGAGGCAGTGTTTTGCTTGGTTTTGCTCTCACTCAGCAGCAATTTCATACTTTAGGTTGCTTTTTATACCCCGGGTTAATAAGCCTCTAGTTAGACTCGGAACAACTAAGCCAGCTCTGAAAGGAAATTAAACCTGTATTTGCAGAGCTGAGTGCCCGTTGATTTGGAGGCAGAGGAAGTGGCAAGTTACTTCTAAGAGAAGATAGTAAGAGCATGAACAAGGAAAGATTGGAGGGAAGGGAGAACTACTTGATTTGCTGTAAAATCATCATTTCAGCCTAGTGGGGCTGTTATTTTTGGTTGCCAGCTGCTCTTGGGAAGTACAATCTCAAACTTCACCTGTGCTGAGTATGGCATATGATTCCCATGGATTCTCAAACTATAGTTTTTTAAGATGCATGCCTAACGCTTCAACACCTAAATCCACATTATTATGCCACAGAAAAGTATCTTGGCTTTCAGCTGAGATAATTTTCCATCAGTCTCCTTAGCTTAGTGGTAGAAATTGGAATTACGCTCTTCCGGCATTAGAAAGCTGAAGCTGAACTTTAGGGATTTAAGTTTCATTATTTGGGCTTTGTGCCTCTTGACTCTCTATCGCCAAAAGTCTTTCCCTTTTTTTTTGTTGAAGAAATGGAAAGCTGTCATGAATTAAACACTGAGAAGAGTAAATTACACAGTAGTCAAGCTCTGCAGATGCCACCAAAGCGCATCCTGCTCTTAAAYCTGGTCCAGAGCCCCTTGGAGGAGCTTCTGTTCGTTCGGGTGCATTTCAGTTCAAAACCCACTTATATAAAATACATAAATATATTGCAGTAATGGTAGCTGAGGGGGGTCTTGTGGAGTTGGGGGAGGTTTCCACTAAATGACTGAACCCATTGCCCTGTAAGTAAAGAAGTTTCTCCTCCTGCTTAAAAAATAAGCAAGGAAGAAAGCCAAGAGTGAGAATGAGTTTTGAATGTACTCACACTAAGGAACACTTTCCTCTTAGGTATTCTCAAGAGAACAGAGTCCTGATTTATTTATTTRTTTTTCTTTATCTCCAAGTAGCAATTGAATGATTAGTTGCAGTACGGTGTAGCATTGAGGGAAAATGTCATGTTTCTCTTGACATGATTTTTCTGTCCGTCCTGGCCAATTGTATTTCCTTTCACCTAGTAACGGCATTTAAGATAGACCAGATAGCATGTTATTTCCCTTCTAGATGCTTAACATGTTAGGGATTTACATTTACTCTGGAGAATTGGAATTTTTTTTTTTTTTTTTTTTTTTTTTTTTTGTCGTTTTTACTTCTAATGAAATAAGATCCTGAAGGGCTGGAACTTGGAAAAAAATTCTCTGGTTACCACAGGGCTTGCATAGCACCTTGACAGTGGGAATTCTGTGATCTGAGAACACACAAAATAAGTTATTTTTCTTGATTGTACGTGTTGTGATAACTTAATACGATTTTTAGAACTATAGATAATAAGCAAAAAATATTTACTATAACTGAAATATTATTTGTTGTCTTTTAGGTATACCAATAACAGTGCCACCACCAGGTAAACTTAACTAGATTTTTTTTTTTACATTTGGTTAATTAAAATAAAATTCAATTGTTGTACAAATTCCTTTTAGATATATTCAGATAAAAATTCATAAATACAAAAAGATATGTGTAGGGATGAGTACAGTTATTTTCATGCAAAACAGAAAAAAAAAAAAATAATGTTCTTGATTACTAGAATTACCTGACAGGCCTTTAGAAGGTGTGAGCTTCCTTTTTTTTTTCCCCTTCCATTCTTGTAATAGTTTTGCAGAACAGTGTCAGTAGTTACTCCTAYGCTTCTCAATTCATGCATATTTTAAGAATGATTTAGTTGATTTGAATTATTTGAGTTGAAGCCCAGAAAATAACATGCATTATGTTTGTCTTTGTATGCGTAGCCTGTTTTTACATAGTGTTTTTTTTCCTCTCTCTCTCTCTCTCTTTTCTCTCTGATTAATTATTACAGGCTTTCCACCCCCACCTGGTGGTCCCCCACCTTCCCTCATACCCACGATAGAAAGGTAATTACTTGTTCTGAAATCTTACAAAGCAATATCAGTCCTCTCTAATGAAAATAAAATCGGTATTAATAAGCATTCTTACACTACCCAGTGTTTTATGCATTTTATTTGGAATTTAAGGAGATGGCTTCAGAATCTCACAATCATTTTCCACAAGCGCTGCTGGTTTCAATATTCTTTGGAGTAGTTTACTTAAAAGAATATTCTTTTATTTCTTTTATTCTTTTGAGTAGGTTTCTTTTACTTACTTACTAGTTTTGTTGAGTGATGACACTGTATCAATGCCAAGACTTAAGAACAAAGTTAAGAAGAAGATTGTTAAAATGTTCCTTAGTGTCTGAAGACTTAAGTGAATCTTACAGTTGTCAACTAAAACATCCTTTTATACAAATACCTTATTTGTATAAAGATAAACATGTAGTAAACAAACATGTTGGCCCCAGGCCCAGGTTTCATAGACTACAGGAAATAGCAGAGTTTGCAGAAYCCAAATTTGTGTTTCTTGTTCTTTCAAGACCCAGCAGCCCTTGGACGTTATTTATATTTTGCCTTAGTCCAAAATGAGAGCAACTGGCTCACGTTAGGAGGCAGAAGCCTCTTGCCAATCCTTCCAGCATCCCTGGAGGAAGTTGCACATCTCTCTCCCTTCAATATTACAAGTTAACGTGCATCTACAGGGTGATGGCTCCAGGTCTCTGAGAAAATCCTCCTTGTCCTTAGGACATCCAGCTGTCCTTATGTGATAACAAAATAACTTTCATACGCACCAAACACATCCACCTCCTTGTTTTCTGAATTAAATCAGAGGAGGATTTTCTCAAAGTTATTCTGCTATCACAGTTGCTGTGAGTGGCCATTGCTTCTGACAGTTAAGCATCAGTCACTGTGCTGGCTTTTCTAAAATACGGGGTAAAAAARTCTTTAATCAAGTTTATTGAAGGTTTTTGGACAACATTTCTGTTATATATTTTTAACTGCTGACATASTGCATTGGCCCTTCATTAGCCTTTTGTTTTGTTTGTTTTTAAACTAATCCAAAGCTTATTAAATGTAATGGGGCTTTTTAATGCAATACTGCCATTGAGAGCAAAAATAACACTTAAAAATGGCAAAGACAATGCATTCAAGTTATGTAGGAAGTGATAAAACCCATCAAAGAATTATATGCGTTTGAATCACGTCCTATGCTCTTATCATCCATTTTAACCTTTCTCTTTTTTACCTACTTGAGTTGGCTGCCATTGAAAGGAGTCAGTTGAGAAAATGTGTGGTTAATTTAAGAGTTTATTAATAGAACTACACATTTGAAGTCCACCTGTTCTTAGATATGCGCAGATACCTACTTTTTAACAGAAAGATTGAGAATGGTTTCATTCACAAACATATGCATTTCCAAGCAACAGAAAGTTGAGTCTGGCTGCAGAAACCTCCAGTGATGTAARCAACATTTGAAATAGAAAATACGTGAAAAATACAATAGCATGGTTCACATTTTAGTATTGTTTTCGAGCCATAGATATTCTTTGTTCTAAATTTTAAGCAGTGTTGAGTGATTTTCAGCCTTTGAATTTAAGTATGAAGTCAACACAGTTGTTTTTGAGAGACTTTCTTAATTAAGGAAGCTTAAAATGGAAGGYTTAAGGAACTATCTAAGCAGACTTGTTTTTAGTCTTCGTGCTGAGAAGAATTCTGAGAGGTCAAAGAGAAGCTCTGGATCTGTCTTTGCAAGAGCCTCAGTGATAACACTGAATTTTGCCTGTGCTTTCTTTACGACAGCGGACATTCCTCTGGCTATGATGGTCGCTCTGTTCGCGCATTTTCATATGGCAGCGGTGAGTGAATTTACTGGCTTGGGACATTTTTATTAGTGCTGGCTCAAATTGCTTGAAATACTTGCCCAGGTTTTAGCTGGGAGTCTAAACAGCAATTTCCAGCAATTCATTATGAAAGTTCATGGTCTGCTACTGTGACCGGATACCTGCTGTTCTTAACAGCTGTTGGTAAATAATTTAACAGCTGCTAGTAAATACTATTGTTTTGTGTGTTTAGCTTATTGCAAAAGTAATAGGTTTTTTTTTTTTTTGGATATGGGCAAAATGTGCAGCTGAAAAATGTCATCATTTCATAGTAAAAGTGAGCTGAAAAGCAATTGCATTATGTGGAATCGAATGGACAGAGAGGGCATCTCACATGCAGCTCTGCTGCTTGAGCCAAGAAGAGATGGCAGGACTAAAACATCAGGAGCTTTCTGACCTCCTGAGACCAAAGGGGTGCAGGAAACCCCCAACCCTTTTCTCCAGGCTGGCTTTTCTGTCTCCCTGCCCCTGGTTCATTTGGACCTGAGATGCTAGAAGGAGCCAATGTGTAAGTTCTGATCACTTCTGAGATAAGTGATGTGCAGCATAGATAAAACGTTCACGTAAGGTCCCCCTCAAAATGTTCCCAAGTCTCTAGAGAAGATGCACAAAATGAGATTTTTGAATAACTTGTTTCTTAAATATCTTAAATACTCCAGTTTATAGAGCAACCAATGAAACKTCATTGACATGAGAATATTCTTCATCACTTAACTATTTATTTTCATGTGTGGAGTCTTACRTATTTTAAGTAATTCTTAGTGGGGGCAAGCAACTGTAAATGGGGGGGCAAGCAATCGTAAATGAGACATGTTTGGGTATATTGCCTACCCCAGGTTTCCTTTTTGCTAATGACTTCAGCAAACATGTCTCCTTTACATCTGAAAACATCCAGTAAAGACTGCCTTGTAAAGGACTGACTTTTAAAGTCATCCTACAGGCACTAGTATGTGCATTGCATCGAGCACAGAGTCTCCAATTAAAGATGTTCTTCACTTCAGAATCTGTGTTGGGGAGATGTGTTGCTGTCATGCCCATACACAAAATCTGGTTGCTATTATGATTCTGCCAGCTCTGGGGCCAGGTTAAAAATTGATGTTTGCCTGTGTATGGTTATAGGGAGTACAGGATTGACACTGGTTCTGAGAAGGGAGCCATTCTTTGTATATTTTATACATATATATATATATATATATATATACACACACACACACATATATATATTTACTTTTCAGAGAGCAAATGATAGATATTAGTCAGAATTTTTCAGGAGGGAAGTCAGATGTGATTTAGTCAGAATCTTTGCATGCAAACCTTGATTTCTTTTAAGCATTAAGGAATTTTGGGGTGTTTCCTGCTCTCCTTTCCCCTGACATCCTGGCCATGAGGCAGGGCAGACTTGTTCCCCGAGGTGAGGGTTAGCTCAGCTGGAGGAGAGAATTACATAGTGCTCACTCTTGGAAAGGTTCCTTCTCCGGTTGTTGTCATTCTCTTGGATCCCTTTTCCCTTTGGAGACTGGAACCACCAGTTTCTGAGGTCACTTAGGGGATTTCCTTTTCTTCCCCTTTCCCTCCCCGCCCCGCAGAGGGTTATCTAAAGGAAGAGCAGGGTTATGCTGGGGAAGTGCTGCTCGTGCTGGTTTTCTTCACCCAAGAAAGATGCTCGTCTTGCTTGCTGTGTTTCCCACTGTTTGCATGTGCTCACCACTRAGGAAAGAGCTTTGGAGCTGATTTCAACTGCTGCAGAAAGACAAGGCTGAACTAAATAGATATGATGTGTTTTAACTCGTGGAGTTTAGCTTGGAGAGACTAAGAGAACTTGCATGACCAGTTCTGGTGCTGTTTCTGAATGCTTTAACCACAGACCCCCTAAGATGTATTAAATTAGTCCAGTCTGGGCATTTTTTATGTGTTGCTTGGTTTTGTTAGTCATTTTTGTGTTGAACTCTCCCTGGCATTAGTATTTTCTGAGGCTTTGGACTCAGTCTGAGAGAACAGGCCACCTTGGTTTCCCTCAGTTAACAACTTGAAGATGATGCCTGGGATTCTTCAGTCTTGCTAGAACATCTGGGTATTTTTATCATGAGCTTTTGCATATACGGCTCAGGAGCTGAGCGTTTCCTTCCTTCTCGTATCTCTCCTTCCTTCATATCTCTTCTTGTAAGGTCATACAAATTCACAGAAGAAACATTTTTCTTTTTAGAAGTGTAAAGTCATCAAATGGGTACGGCAGCATCTTCAACTTGGAGTGAGAACCCTTTAATTACCTTGGGATATTAATTAGCCAGCTCCTCGTAGGTACATAGAGCATCACTGCCTTGAGCTAAAAATACTATRTAGTGAAATTCCTCCTAAATCCAAAATCATTCTAGCAGAGTAGTCTGGAGTTGGTAGCTTTTGGCGTTTAGACAGGCTCTAAGTCCTGGCCCTTTTCCTCCCGTCGCTGCCGTGCGGGGCCAGCGCGGGCGGCGCTTTTGCCCCGCCAGGTCCTTTGCTCCAGGGGGCTGGTTCCTGGCCCGTGCCCGGGGCATGTGGGGCACATCCACCACGGGCAGCTCCCGCGGGCTCCCGCCGGAGCAGGAGCCATTCCCCGGCCGCTGTCTCGACCCGGCAGCCCAGACCTGCCCGCGGGACCCCGGCCCGCGGGATTTGCTCTTTGGCAAATCCGGGGCAATCCGAGGGCTCGGAGGGGCAGCGGGATGGTAGCTACGGTGAGGATTGCTAGGGGGTCTGCAGCCAAGCCAGCTGGCACCCCCTTGGCCTCTTTGCCAGCCCGGGCACGGGTGGCCGGCCCAGAACTGCCCAGGAAGGGAGCGTGTCAACCGCGGGGCAGAGCGGCCGCCCTGGCGCGGCCCGGCAGCCCCTCTGCCGCCCGGCCCGGGCCTCGCTCCCTCTGCCGCTTGGTCTGTTGAGGAGCTCGCAGAGTGAAGCCATACTCTTAATCTATAGCACCAGGAATAGGAATTTTGCACTTGTGTGCATCAAATAACAGCCTCTTGAGCTCGCCTTTGAGTCCATTTGTGATCCAGCAAGACCTTAATACGGTCTTTTTTTTTAGTCTCATTTTAGTCTCATTAAGCTCTCAGTATAAGGCACTGCTTTGGGCCTGCCAGAAACAACTGGTGTTGTGTGCTGCCTGGCTGTTCCCGCAAGTATTCCCTCACTCTGTGCTCTGCATGTTCTTTGTATCCAGAAAACATGCAGCAAATTTAGCATTACAAGAACAGTTCCAGAGACAGTATTTTTTGAGACAAAAAGAAGATATATTAATACTTTGCCAATGTACTGTGACAGCATGCAGCTTCATTTAAAGAAAAAAATAAGAAAATRGGGCTTTTGTCTCCACCACTGTTGACGGTTGAAAGTCAATAGTATTCCTCCCTCCCTATTTAAAAAATAAAATCAGCGTTATATTATATTGGAAATCATTTTCTTTGTGTGAAAGTTATTAGAAGGATCCTAAAATCCATAAAGAGATGCTAAAAGTTGCTTCATTCCACCTAGCAAACCCGGGAAATACCAGTCCATGTTACAGAGCAAACTTTCTGAAGCTGCCCTGCGTGCTGAGAATAATCACAGGTGCCAAGTTAGGTGTCCGAACTGCTGGTTCTCAGAGTAACAAGTAAACGGTTTGTTTCAGGCCACGCCGATGGGAATGACATACTTGGGTCTGATGGGAATTACTGCAGATGTGGGGGAGTGACCAGAATTCAGCTTAGAAGCTTATGCTGCTATTAATAATTTGTTTGGTAGTATGTGCCTAAAGGAAAGCGAAGGTCAGCCTGCAGATCCGAACACGCAGCAGCCAGCGCTGCGGCCGGGCCTTGCAGAGCGTACGTGTGGTGTTGACATAACGGCACGTCAAGGAAATTAGCTGTCTTTAAAGCCCAGCTGTTTTTTTGCTATTTCTGGCCGCTTTCCTTAGAAGAATCTCAGTTTTTGGCACAATGATGAACAGCAGGCTATTGTGCCAGSGTATTTTTTTCTGTTAACTCCTTATTCTCCCCGTAGCCCTGGAGGGAAACGTCACGGGGTGTTTGGCTAAAGCAAAAAGGAGGTTAAATGTGGTTTTTGAGGAGGATCCTGATGCTTTCCAGGGGAGACGCCCTCCAGCAAGGCCGCTCGCGCTCCTGCCCCGCTGCCCGCTCCGATCCTCCCTCCTGGAGCATCCTCCAGCAGATCCTCCCTCCTGGAGCATCCTCCCTGCTGGAGCGCTGCTGGTGCCTGAGGGCCTGCAGGAATTCCCRCCGGGGGAATTCCCTCCTAATGTGGTAGCTAGGGAAGCAGCGGGGCAGCCTGTGAGGGAGAGCTCTTTCCAGGGAAATTGGGCCATTGAGACTCGTGGTTCCTTGGGATATATCCCCAGTTGGAGAGCGCAGCGGAGGCGGGCGCTCGTCCCGTGCTCTCCCAGGGCTCCCTTCAGAGTCAGGAGGCCTGGGCTGCTGGGCCTTTCACCCCATTGTTTCTTCTATCAGTTAAAGGCAAAACGTCCGAGGGGAAAGGGTTTTTCTTCTCCCCAAGCTGCGTTTATGCAAGAGACGTGTATAGCTGCGATGACGGGCTGGAATGGGCAAAGCTGGCAAAGCAGCGTGCAGAGCAGGARCGAGGGCACAGCACACGGAGCGTCGCAGCAAGCTGTGCTTTCAGGGAGCTATTCTAGAGCACAAAAGTGCTAGCACCTAAATATAAAGTTGGAAGCATCCTTTTCCCTTGTTTTTCCCAATTGTGCTTCCAGAAGCAGTGTGTTTCAAAGGCTGTTCTGTTTTCTGCTGCTGCTTGGGTTTCTGTTTCCCCAAGACAAAAATCATCTGACTGCACAAAGTCAGATGCTTCCAGCAAAGCTTTGCGCAATGTGTTTTGGTTCCTAAGAATTTAGACATTCTTGGTTTGTGGTTCCTGTGTATCCTGTTCCTGTATATCTTCGTAATGAGTATATAAATGAGATAACAAGGCAGAGGGATATATTAGCATCATGGGAGGGGGAAAAAATAAAGCAGAGTTTGCTCACAATTAACTTCTATGTGAAAGTTTGGAGCATGTCACTGGAGGAGCTTGCAGGCATGAATAGTGTTGCAGTTTTCACGTGGAACCTGGTTTTGTTCTTTCTAATTCCCGCGTCTCTTTCTTAGTCACCTTTCCGCACCTTGCAGGTTCCGCGCCCGCCTGGTCCAGCCTCATGGACACCAGCAAGCAGTGGGACTACTATGCACGGAGAGAGAAGGACAGGGAGCGCGACCGGGAGCGATCCCGGGACCGGGATCGGGACCGCGAGCGGGACCGCGATCGAGAACGAACCAGGGACAGAGAACGGGACCGCGATCACAGCCCGACCCCGAGCGTGTTCAACAGGTGGGTGCAGCGCCCCGACGTGCCGTCGAGCTCTGCTCCGASCTGGGCTTTCTGCTGGAAACCCTAATTAAATGTGTTAAGTGTAAAGCAGAAGGGTGAAAACAAAAGTAGACGCCCGAACCGGGCAGTAGCGCCTCACAGGTTAAACTTGGAATGCCCATGARAGCTGCGGTTTAAGCTTCTGTGTAAAGGAGGTAATTGGCTCTCTTCTTGGACCTCAGAAGTCGTTAGAAATAGTAGAGTTCTGGAAAAAGCTACAGAAATAKTGAATGAATTTTTGTGCCTGTTGCAGTGCCGAGAGCACTGTGGTGCAACATTAGACCTTRATTAATGTATTATTGGCTAGTAAAATCGTTATTGGCTAAACTGGCTGGATAATAATTTGTCCTGCCTCTTACAAATTATTACTTTGGGGTCAAGAACCCTTTTTTAAGGCAGACCTTCTGTTGTTTTGTGAGCTCTCTTAATTACCTTTAAAAAAGAGGGAGCTGTCACTGTTCTTTGGTTGGTGTGCACAAGTACGAAGCGGGTCGTGTTGAACTCGCTGTGACTCCATAGGCCTCTGGGCTTGCCACGTCCTTCCAAACTGCTCAGGATTTGAGCAAAGGGTTTTGGAGCAAACCTTGACTGCTTTGCCTCCTGCTTTCTGCTCAGCTTCAAGTTTGCAGAATGTCCACGATAGCTACTAAGCTGCTGGTGTGTTTACTAGTTGCTTTGCACTGTGGAGACAGAATTACTTAGCTGGAAGTATTGCTAGATAATCATGAGCTTGTAGGCCCAAACTGGGGGCAGGAGGGCTGAATTTTGCCCTTGTGCAGACGCCCGGGTAAGTGCAGCCACGTCCTCCCCCGAGCACGTGGCCGGTGTTGTCCTGGGGCTGCCGAAGCCAACCTGCAGTCTCGGCAGCTGCTTCCCACACAGCTGGAGTGAGGGCCGGAGAGCAGCCGGGGCATTCAGGGGTGCTCGAAACGAACCGTAATGGCTCGCAGGCCTAGCAAAGCCTCGGTGCTGCTGCCAGAGCCTGCTGTAAAAGAGGGGAAGAGCAGGGCCCAGCTGCCTGACGGGCCTGGATTATCCTGCAGCTGCAGCAAAGCTGCTGCCACGGGGCCGCGGAGGCCTCAGCTGCTCTGAGCTGGGGTGGGAGTCGCAGAGAAGGGGCGAGAGGTTTGCGAGCGTCCGGCCACRCAGGCACCATCAGGCCTCTTTTTACCTCTGTGCCTTCTTTTATTATTATTATTAAGGTTTATTTTCAATTTCATGCGCTTAAAAAAAGAAAAAAGCAGCTACGAGGAATAGACCGTGAGCTGTTTTAAAAGATTGCACACATGCAGTACTTCTTAAATGGCCTGTGTTTAAATTTAAGCAACGCTGTTGTGACACATCGCCTCATTTTTAGCTTTTTATTGTGCAGAAATTATTGCTCTGTGTGCTTGTGCTAATTCTTTTCCAAGTAGAGAGCCTATATTTGTGCTATTGTGTTCCTTAAATTCATACAGAAATGGGAATTTTACCCCTCTACTGGGGTAACCAAAATGTGGTTTAAAAATGAGCCTTGAGCTTTCTTTGTGTTTTCAGTCAGCAGYGCCCAGAAGAAATGGTGCATTTTCCAGCCAGGGAAGCCCTGTGCTGGGCAGGGCTTACCCCAGGGGATCCCCCCAGCCCGGCTTATTCGTGATTCCTTGCTGAGTTTGTTTTCATATACATGGCAGTGCTTGGGAACAGAGAAGCCAGACGTCGGGCATGGCCACCAACGTGGAGTCTCGTTATTCCCGTAGCTTGTCCTGAATTTTCAGGCACAGTAACCTGAGGTGGGGCGGGCACTTCCAGGGGTCAGCCTGTGTTCGGGACCACTTGCAGAGAAACCAGTATTTTAAAAGGCCAGAGCATTTGAGTGTATTTAACTGTCAGGTTCTCTGTTTCTAGCTTTTTCTTTCTTGAAGCTGATGTAAGGAAGTAGGTCAGATGCACCACACGTAACCTCATTTCCCCATCTGCCCTGCAAATCTCAAAGAGGAGCTGATAAGTAAGTGTGAGAGATGCAGCTGAACAGAAAACACTACCGAATTTACTAGACCTGTGCTTCATTCACAGCTACACACAGGTTGCAGCTAACTGCTTGACATGCAGAGGTTGCACCATTTCCTCCTCCAGTTTTGGGGACCAGGGGCATTCAGCAGCCTGGTGTGCAAGGTAGAAAGCCCAAATCTCCCTCCAGCACATGAGGCAGAGCATGTTTATAAACCCCAAACACCTTTAAGTTTCTCCTGCCGTTTCTGCTGGTATGGGGAGGGATCTGTTTCAATACTGCATTGGTGTTTCTGCCCTGAAATGATCTTTCCCCCCCCGCCCCAGTGATGAAGAGCGCTACAGATACCGAGACTACGGAGACAGAGGCTACGACCGGCACAGGACGAGCAGGGAGAAGGACGACCGGCACAGAGAGCGGCGGCACAGGGAGAAGGAGGACACGAGGCACAAGTCGTCCCGAAGGTTTGGCTTTTAATAGGATACGAAAGACTCGGCCAGTTTAAAAAAATAAATCTTAAAATGACCCCCAAACAAAGTGGAGTCTTCTGGAGCGCCTGTAAGCGCTTAGCGGTGCCGCCCGGAGCGGGTCTGCCAGCTAAAATGTGGGCAGACGCGACGAGGTGTTGGCCCCAGGAACTTCATGTTGAGTCACGTGGAATACAGTCTTAGCTAGTGAACGAAAATTAAGGATTTGGAAGCCAAGGTTAAGAATTTGGGGGCAGAAGGGTAAAAGCGGTGGGTCGGCAGCAGGCAGAGTGAAGCCAGTATTCAGCAGTGTTGCATAAAACCAGCAGTGATGCCCACCAAGTACGTAAAAGACCTCTGGTGCTCACCCCATACAAGTGTTCAGCTTAATCCTTTTTGAGGTTGAAACAAAGCTTGACTCAGGGTAAAAGACCAGTGAGATTTACAGCTTCTAAATGGATGCCGGTAGGGACATGCTATTACTAAAAGTGTTGCAATTTGAATATGGGTCACATATGTGGGCAAAAAAAAAAAAAAAAGAAAAAAAAAAGGAGACCTTTCCCAGTAAAAAACAGAGCACGAGAGGGGACAGGTACCAGAGAAGTCCTTCTGCCCCTGGCATCCCTACTCGCTGTGGGATATAGGGCAGGGAGGGCTCCGCTGCGCCGCGGGCAGCGGCTTGAGGCTTTTCCCCGCTGTGTTTCTAGCAACAGCAGACGCCGCCACGACAGCGAGGAAGGGGACAGCCACAGGAGGCACAAGCACAAAAAGTCCAAGCGAAGCAAAGAAGGAAAAGAAGCGAGCGGCGAGCCGGCCCCGGAGCAGGAGAACACGGAGGCTGCCCCTGCCGAATAGGCCCGCGTGATTTTTGCCTACTTGCATATATATTAGTGCCAGAAATAGATTACTATAAATCCTGTTATTTTTCTGGGTATTAAAATAATTTGCTCTTAATCTTGTTCTGTTAGTATAAATTCAAAGGTTACTTGGTTTTTTTGGAAATAAAAGAATGGATTTTTCATGTTAAGCTGCCCGGCCTGACTTTGTCTTTCAAGAAGGAGTAAGGAAAATTCCATCCGAGATCTACGGACTGCATTGATGCTCTTGCAGTGTTTGTAGGACTTGAAATCTTACTGAAATGGTCTCTTTTTTCCTATAATAATGCAGGAGGAAGGTCATTCTCCTGAGTTCAGCAGCACTTTGTTTGCGTTCACTTGGGTGCCCACCGGAGGTGGAGCGGTGAGTGCTCAGTGAAGCCCTTGGAGCTCCTGGCTGAAAGGTCGCCCTTCACCACCGGGCCCAGGAGCAATTCCAGACACTTCAAGAACCTCGTTCGGAAGTGGAACAGCAGCAGAAAAAAGAAAGGGGGGGGGAACAGAGGAGGCTGCTGACTCATTTTAGGCTGCAGGGCTGCTGTGTGCTCTTGGTGAAGGGTAACGAGTCCCTCCTCGTCCCCTTGCTCGTGTCCAAGGGGAAAAACAGAGACCACAAAATAGGGGTAGTTGGCAGAGTAAAGAACTGCTTTAAAGAAGTCAATTCGTTGCGACGTCAAGATCTACTGTAATCAGAATGGTATCTGTGCTACTTATTTTTAAAAAAATGGAAAAAATTAAATATATTTGTAATAATTAGAAGCTACCAAGGGAGCCACTTCTTTTGGTTTTGAATGAAAATAATGTTTGTACAAGTACACACAGTTATTTTTAGTAATTTTAGAAGTATAATTTAATTCACAGCTTTACAGACTAACAAACAATACTTGAAAGTCTGGGGAATACCAGCTCCATGCTGACCATGAAAAGGTACAAGATAATCAAAGTGCTAGTACTGTGTTGGGTAAAAACCTTCACCTGGTATTTTTTTCAATTAGAAAAGTACTTCATGAGCTTGTTGGGAATTTTTCCATAAGTTATTCATAAATTTCTTTCTATAAATTAAAGGGGGTGAACAGGAGCTATCGCAGCTCCCTAAATTTCATAATTATTATAAATATATATAAAAAAACAAACAAACTTAAGAACATGGGAAGCAGAGACTTAAGTCTGTAACTGAAATCACTCAGCAGTGATTCTGATACCTGTCCCTTCCTTACCTAAATTTGACTTTTCTTGACATGCAGGTTGAAATTTCAAACCTTTCCTTGATAAACACATTTGATCCCCCCCAAAAAAGTGAGGACGAGCAACATCCTTGTTTTTCCTGTGTTCAGTTACCTGTCACCCTGTCGGAGAGGACTTGTTTTATAAAAAAGTGCCAGGCCAGGACGCAATCGTGAGCGTAATTTTCCCTTTTAGTTCTTTGAGCATCCTTGCCAGGCAGGCGTGCATCATTCCCGACGTGTTCCTGCCGTTGACAGCAAGGAGGATGTCACCACATCTGAGAAGCCAAGGCAGAGATGAGAGAACCATTAGAAAAGGGGGCATCTTAAGTGCTTGCAAATACTAAAGCTAAAGCAGCTCCTTCAGTCAGAGGGGCAGGGAGGGTGGAATATAACTGTTTTTAAGCCAGGGATGGCTGCTCTTGCAGGCTGGTTCCCTCCAACCTTGCCACAGGCATCTTCTTACCTAGGCCTGAGACCTGCAGCCTCTCTGTGGGGAAGGCAGAGAGGCTGCTTTCCTGAACTCAACGTATWTCTACATGCACCAGCACTCAGGTCTGCACTCCACCGAGCTCACACAAGCCTTTAAGGGACACTGACKTGTCTGTCAGTGAGTCCTCTCTCTTCTCTACATGGTGTTCACGCAAACGTGGGAAACAAAGCGATGAACTGGCTGTAAGCAGGACTTCAGCACTGCTGTGCATTAGCTGGGTCTCATTACCTAATTCTCCCATCGTTGTACGCTGGTGTTCCGCCCACGATGGATTTGATGAAGAAGGGTTTGTTCCCGGTGTGCTCTTCATAGCCGCCCACAATGCTGAAGCCAAGGCTGCCGGCTGTRTTTCTCCGCAATATGATTTCTTTGCAGCTGTACAAATACCTGAAAGAAAAGTTTAATTAGTGGCTTATGCTTTAGATGCTGATGAMTCACTAATGATTCATCAGCCTTTGCATAGCTGAGTGTTTTGAATACATAAAACAGCATCAAAGTTCCACTGTTTTCAACCCCTGTGCTCTCCTTCTGTACCAYTGCAGCCTACAACCAGTTAACCCAGAAGTACAAATAATTCCTGCTTAATCTTGGCTTTAAGCAACAACAAGCACTTGGTTCCTAGGCACCTGAAATGCAGGCACTTCAGGTGCAACTGAAAATGAGAGCGAAAAATACTTTAACTGAGGCTGGATATAATATCTGGAAAACACATTCCTAGGAAGTGCGTTTCACTGTCTATCCCATACAGGCCAGYGCTGTGTTGCAGCTTTAAGGAAGAGCCTATATGTGATTAGCTGTTCCGTAAGAGACGGGCAGTTGGAGATACAGGAATGGCAGACAGGAACCAAGGTGCGTGTCGAATCCAAACTATTCCGAGACAAGTGAAATAAACCAGAATTACAGGAATTGTGAAGCTCACCCRGAACGGCCGAGTCACAGAACTCTGACACTGCTGTCAGGAACAGCGCTCCTGACGGAGGCTCAGTCCCCCATTCCCTGGGGTCACGGGAGAGGAGAGGGGGTTCCCGCAGCTGGGAGCACACGTTTCAGCCGTGGGTGCCGGGCCTGCCTGTTCACAGGCCGTATCCCCACCAAGTGCTTTGCCTTGGGCAACGCGTCCCGGAGCCGCGGGCACGGAGCCGGGAGCGGCGGGGGCCGTGGGCGCGTGGAAGCGGCTGCACGCGAGGCGGCTTTTATTCCTCTTGCCGATACGACAAGGCAGCTGCTTCCCGGGGATGACAACCGTGCCTTTTTCCTTCGGCGGGGTCGGGGTTAAGGGAGGTGACAGGGAGACACGGGCCAGCTGCTCACGCCGCGCGAGGGCCCTCGCCAGCCTGCGGCAGGCGCTCCAGCCCAGGGCCCTCCATGGGCTCCCACAGCCCCACGAGCGTCTCCCCCTGCTCCCCTCAGTGCCAGGGATGTTTTTTTTAGGAGCAGGAGGGTCCCCRTGCCTCACAAGCGGAGCTACGTGTCTGTTTTTCCATGCACGTGTAGCCGGTCGCAAAAGGGAGGTATTTAGATAAGGCCCGTGACGGAGCCTGGCTTTAATTAAGAAGTCAGCGCGACGCACGAAGCCGAAAGGAAGCGCGGCCAAGAAACACAAACCCTTCCTGGCAGGGCCCTCGGCCGGGAAGGGCGCCGCTGCGGGACTCACCGCGGCAGCCCCAGCCACATGAGCCAGGAGGGCGCCCAGTCGGCGCCGTCGCGCGCCGCCCGCGGCTCCTCGCTCGCCCGCAGCTCCAGCGCCCGGAGCACCACGGAGGAGCTCGTGCTCTTCAGCAGCGCCACCGCCTCGCTCCGGCTCACGCCCGTCAGGTCCGTGCCGTTCACGTTGAGCAGGATGTCACCTGGGAGCGACCGCGGGCATCAGCAAAAGCAACAGAGAGGGTTTCCAAGGGCCCCCTTCCCCCTCCAAAAGCAGGCGGGGTGAAAACAGGCCAAGAACTTGCTGCCTGATGAGAGCATTTGTTAATGTTATCATTAATGGGGAACACGAAGCATATGCTAGCGAGCATGCCACGAGCATGAGAGCAGGGGCAGAKCCCCATCCCCTGGCAGCAGCTCCTCGCGGAGCCGCGCGCTCCGCAGCTCCTGCGCCTCTGGATACACACGGGGAGCTGGCGTGAGCTTCCCGCCAAGCAGCCACCCAGTGCCCTCTGCACTGGGCCTGGAGGCCAGCTCTGAAAGCTGCACGGTGCTTCCCGCCCAGCACTCCCCAGGCTGGCGGCTGCCACTCCACCAAGCTGCCGTCACGGAACGGCATATTGTATTTTACCAGGAAGGGCTGCTGGAACGGCCCCGGGGCAGATGCCCTCCGGGGAGCCCCACAGCAGGTGCCCAGCAGCCGCAGCCAAGGGCGCAGAGACACCCTCAGTCACGGGGAGGACCACGGAGACGTCGCCGGCGCCAGGCTCCGGCTCGAGGGCGCAGCGGGGGCCGGAGCCGGCCCTGCCGGGATGCTGCGTGCCCAGGCCCCGTGCCAGGCAGAGGCCCTGGCCCTGCCGAGGTCCTTCTTGCCCTGCCCAGATGCCGGCACTGCCCAGATGCCGGCCCTGCCGTGCGTCTGCGGGCAGCTCTGAGCGGCCCTGTGTAACAAACAGCCCCTTGTCACTCGTGCAGGAGGCTGAGGCTCCTGGGRAAACAACCTTTCCAGTTTCACCCCTCAGCTCCTGCAAAACCCACCGGGAGCGCATGCTCAGCTCACTCCTGTTCTCCTGCAGGASGAGATGCTGTTAATGCCACCATTTGCATGGTTAGCTCCAGACCCAGCCGGAGGTGTGGAATGGGTTCTGGATGTGATATTGACCCACAAGGCATTAGCAGGGCTTCATATGKGATGGCAGCTCTACTGCTTTAACTGTGGACCTCTTTGGAAGTCAGCAATGATATGAAAAGTACAAAAAATTGTATCAAGAAAACATTAAGGTTGCACAGTGAGGCTCTCAGTAACCAGGAGATGAGGGTGCAAACTCATTTTCCTCTGTAAAATTAATGCAACTCCTACTTYAATTTGCCTATATCCCATTTCACATGGACAGTTACTGCTGCTAATTATAGCTTTTCTGATAGCCAACTTGAAACCCTCTGATCTGACGTGTCCCAACAGAAACCCATGGGACAGCCGAGGGTGGCAGAGTCTGAAGCTCTTTCACCATCCCCCTGTTCTTCCAAGGAAGCCTCTGAATTAAAGCAGGCCTCCGAGGCCACTCCTTTTACCTGTTTTGATCCTGCTGTCTCTGCTGATGACTCCTCCGGGCTCCACGCTTATCACGTAGATAGGCAAATCCCACTCGCGGCTCGTGGCTCCGCCCGCCACGGTCATTCCCAGGGACTCGCTGTGGTCCTTCCGGACGGCCACGACCTTCTCGTGGCAGGTGACGGCGTGCAAGGCACTCTGTGGCGGGCAAAGGGCAAGAGCTAATGCAGCGTCCGGGCACGTCCCCTCGCAGCCCCGCCACCTTCCGCTGCCAGGAGCAGTCCCCAGGGAACACCGAGGGAAGAGCAAAGCGCCTGGCAGCCCCCCGCCGCTCCTGGCTGTGATCCTTTGGCCTGTGGAGTCAGAGCTGCAAGCAAAATAATCCATACTCCATGGCCAGAAGGCTGGCACTGCTTCCACCAAAGTCAGAAATGTTATTTCACCCCTGAGACTAATGGAAAAAGGAGCCGGCATTTGGAATGTGCATAAAGAATCTGATTTCCAAGAAGCAAACAAACATTTTCTTCTTGATACTAAGATCACCATTAGTCCTCCTATCTTTGGGTGTCAGGTCACAGTTCTTACCTGGTTGCTTCCACTCTGACCATCACCTGTGTGGTTACGGGAAAGAGCCCACCTGGGTTAAGGGAATGAAACTCTGGGGAACAAATGAGTGGATACACACTTCACTTGCTATTCCCAATTGCCATGTTGCTATAGAAGGTACAAGGTGCTGGCTGAAATACAGTAGAAAAGCACRTCTTTCAACCCAGAAACTGAGAGGGGCTCTTGCAGAGTGAAGAGGCAGCGGCTTCTGGGGCTCTCCTTATTCCTTGTGCTCTGGAGGTCACTGCCTGCGGACAGCCATCCGAGCCCTATTCCTTAGGCTAAACCCAACGTGTTACCTGTGCACAACCGGCCACACAAGGAGGTGAGGGTGGCATGAACTCACAGGCAGCACAGGCTGACAGCGGCAGCACAAGCTCCAGCCACCCAGTGTCACCTAGACCGAAATCCAGCATCCAGCGCTTTTATGGAAAACCTCAGGAGACAGGGACTCTCCTCCAGAAAATCTGGATTTAAACATTAACTGCTTTGACTCCCTTAAGTATTTTATAAGCCGTCTTCCTGACACCAATCCCTGCCGATCCCAGCCCTCTTGCAGGAACAGCACCATCCATTCCAGACTCATTAGGTAGATACAATAGACATGCTGCTAAAAACATTTCAAATATATATTTTGAAAACTCTCGYTCACGAGCATGATCTCACATTTATAATACGCAAAAAAATGAGCTATAAATCTAGTTTACAGCCGCATTCATCTCCTCCAAGAAATCCGAGATCCCACAAAGCCCTGGATTCCCGGGCCCGGAGCCGTGTGCGGCCCGCGGCGGCTGCGGCATTGCCTGCAGGGCAGGAGGGAAGGCAGCAGCAAGCGGGTTTTATGGGAATAGGAAGGAAAAAAGGTCGAGGTTCTGTATGGTAGAGCAGGGGATTCAGCGTTCTCTTCTTAGARATGAGCACATTCTCTTCTAGAATCTCTTTCAATACTTCAAAATACCAMCGTTATCTTTGTAGTGTAAATGCTCTAAACATTGTCGTTCCRTCTTTGTGCATACTAAGCTTTATCTTGCTTTATGTTTCATCCTTCTGTTTGCCTTTGTGCAGAAGTGTCCCTTTCCCCTTGAAAAGGAGCAGCTTTCCAGCAGGAGAAGGCCACTTCCCGCAAAAGGGCAGTTTGAGATTTTGTAACAAAATGCAAAATTAGAATTAGGTTGGCAACTCAAAACAGTCCGTGTAAAACTTATGSCACGTCCATTGCATCCCAGACACCAAAAACGCTCCTGATGAACAGTTAATGCTCTGTTTTTTGTAGAAGTGGTGCAGAAAGAAGCAGCTTGGAGAGCAGTGCTTGGGAGCAAATGCCCATCTTACATTTCAGCGAGAACTCACAGAAGTGCCGATACRCAAACGCGCAGACACACAGGATGCGCTTCCCTTGGAAGCTGCTCTTCCACACGTCGTTTTTTACAGGATTGCCGATAGGAAGGAATCAGCGTGCCTCGGCTGGGAGGAAAGCAGTGATGAAAGGAAAGTAAAACCTTCCTTAGTAAACACACGTAGGGCTTTCTTGGAGGGCCTACTGATAATAAGGACACCGGCTGAAAGGCAGCGTTTATCAGCGACCGTGTTTCAGTGCGTGTTCTCCCAAACAATTGTCCTTCTCTGTCACGCTGAATTGCCCCCACAGGTCAGCAGCAGGAAAACACAGCAGTTCACCCCTTCCTCTTCCCTACTTTATTTTCCTGTAAGCTTACTGCGAAATAAATATTTGCAGCAGATTATCAGAGCCCGTGGCCGTGCYGCACGGCTGGGCCTGCCTGGAAAGCCAAGTTCACCCGAGGGCTGAACACGGCCACACGCCAGGGCTGCCACAGGGTGAGGGTTTCGTGTGGGTACCTAATTCGTTAGGAGGAGCAGAACAGTTACAGCTAAGAAGGAGGCTGCTAGTTAATGGCAAGGCTCCCAGTGACTCCAAACAAGTGGAGAGCAGCTTATTGATGCCACTTCCTGGGCTAAGCTCAAGGGAAAAGCGGCTCCTGTGAGTAACAACTCAGGTTAGTTCTCAGTCTCTCTCCCAAGGCCATGCGGCAGTGCAGACCCCTGATGGCAGCAGAGCATGCACCTGGAGGGACCTCCCGCCAGCGCAGCCAGGGAATGCTGTCGGGCTCCGCAGGAGCATCCACGGCATTAGGGACCTGGACAGAGCCTGCTCTTGCAAGCGTTATTCCTGCACCAGGGCCTGCTCAAGGAGAAATGCAGCTTTAAGGCCACGGAAGCTTCACGTTGAAGGACCCTGAATTGCCAGGGCTGCTCAGCGGCACCTTCAGCAAAACGGCAAGCGACGAGCTCATGCCATATGAAAGGGCAAGTTGTGCTCCAGCGGTGCCTGTGTCAGACCAAAAGCCTGCAGTGCCTGAAGCTCCTACATGATCTACTGCCCGAGACAAGCCCTCCACTGCCCACGCAAAGCTGAAGGGAGCTGCTAACAGCTCCCGTTTCCTCCTTTGGCCACGATCTTCCCTGGAAAGCCTCCCGACAGCGGCGCTGGGCGGCCGTGCGCAGCAGCCGGCGCCCTGTGGCAGGCCAGAAGCCTCCACGGCCTTGGGACACGGCCCAACAGCCCTGACGGGACCGCTGCGATGTCAATGCGGGCTCCCACAACCCGACAGCTCCCACAAACAACACTCCATGCACCATGAATCCCATCCAGCAGCTTTGGCAGATGGCGGGGAGAACGGGCACCTAGTGCGGACTTGGAAACAAGTCATGTTCCCAGCGAGTCCCATGTGGTATCCAACGATCAGATCTATGTCGTCAAGCCAGGAGGTGCTCCGAGTACCCCCAGAAGCCAGGGAGCAGTGGCCCGAGCTGCATGCTATCCTGCAGGGAATCCCTGCTGGCTGGGSGGGATGCCTGGCGGATGCTCCAGGAGGCTCCAGTGCTCACTGCCGGCTGGGAGCTGCCGAGCATTGGCCCCGCTGCTGGGAGAACCCTGTCCACCAAGTCCCGCCTTGGTAAGGGCTGGGACTGCAGGCAAAAGCAAGGCAAAACAGATGGACAGAGGCAACCGTGGCTTCCCACACATAAAAACATGGAATAGTTAGAAGAAAAGGAAAGGAAAGGAGGAGCAGGTAGCTGCAAAGCTCYGCGGAGGGCGGCACAAGGCTGCTCTGTGGGCAGTGGGCAGCGCAGTCCCCGCGTCCCCTCGAGGGCACAGCGCGATGCCCACCCGGATTCCGGGATTCCGACGGCGCCTTCCCAAGGCCGTGCCCGTGGGGAGCCGGCCCCATCCAGCCCTCCCGCRCAGCCGGAGGATGGGGCCAGGCTCCCGGCTCCCAGGGCATCAGCGTGAGGTCCCTCCYGCGAAGGCAGCACGTTCAGCTCCCGCGAGGGGGTCTCTGCGTACGGCCAAAGTAAGCGGAATCTMATGGGATTACGGTGTGTAATGACAGGTAATCCCGTGCCACTTTCCCTCAGCGAGGACACCTCCACGCAACYGTTTAATCTGGTTAAAGTGGCAGTAATCCCATTTAAAACCATGCCTCTATCTAACACAGATCCCCTGTCCTGAGCATGGGCAGGACTGTGCTGCCTTGCCCTCTGCAAGGGAGGATGTGTGAACTGTCCGAGGGGGCTCCTGTTTTCCACAGGGTTCTGGGCTCTTCTTTGCTGTTCTCACTCTCCTCGGTCCCTCACAACAGTGCCAGCTCTGGGATGTGCTTCCCCTGGGATGGCACTCTCGCTGCTCCCACTGGAAAAAGGGCAGGTGACGGCCCCTGAGGCTGCMCTGAAGCAGCACAACCAAGCACAAAGCCCTCTCAGAGGCCGCTGCTCCCCTCCGCAGGAGGCCAGGTACCCACCAGGGAMAAAGAGCACACCCTGCCCTGTGCCTGTCGCAACGGGTAACAGCACGCAGGCTCAGGAAAGGGCATATCCATGGCTCTTGCTGCACTGTTCGCTTCTTTAAAACCCTCGTGCGTTTGACCAGAGCGCGTCTGCCTTGTGCCCCGGTTTTCTCCTCCCTGCATTTCTTGTCTTTGCTTGGCTGTGCTGCCAACTGCACTGGTTATTACAGGGATCCCTGCAAGGCATTAGAGCAAGGATGGCTGGGGGAGCTGGGGCACCGCAGCAGGAGCACCATGGAGCGGGCAGGGACGGGGAGCAGGGGGCCAGTGCTGCCCGGTCCTGGGGGCTCGCACGGCCACCGAGAGCCCCC